TAGGAGAGAGGAGAGAGGGGAGAGGGGAGAGAAGAGAGAGGAGAGAGAAGAGAGAGAGAGAGAGAGAGAGAGAGAGAGAGAGAGAGAGAGAGAGAGAGGAGACCTAAATGCACAAAATGTTCAGAGTTAGGGAAAAAAATATTTAGTGTTACTTATAATGAAATGTTTTAAAATACTTTAAATACTTAATAACAGAGGAATGGTTGCATAAATTATAACATATGTGCTAATGGTATATTACCAAAACTTTAAAAAGATATTTACAAAAGATAAATCATAGACAATATTTAGTGGAAAAGCAAGATATAACTTTGCATTCTGTTCAGTCCCAGCTAACAGTACTGCATTGTCTGAAAGTGACTAGAGGAAAATACGCAAAAATGCCAACAGAGTTACCCGTGGGTGGCCCGGTTATGAGTTGTATTTTCTTCTTCTTTTTTTTTTTTTTTTCATGCACTCCACGCAATTATGCTGTTTATGTTTTCTTTGTTGTCGCTGTTGTTATTAAAAATCATTTCAAACGAGCATGCCCTTAGGTCCCTGCAAGAATATGCTGTGGCTCTAGGCGGTGGCTCCGCGGGCAGTCCTCACGGTAGGCCCGCGGAGTCAGCTGCACCCCGCCCCAGCCTCCAGCCTCAGCGCCGTCCAGGGCAGGGCTTAGCGCTCCCAGTGTGAGGAGCGAGGAGGAGCTGAGGGCTCTGCAGCTCGCCTCGGCCCTGCTGGCGCACTGCCCTGCTGAGACAGCCCTGAAGGGGCGCGGAGGCGGGCTGTGCAGGCTCGACACCGCACCGCTCCGCACCGCTGGGGTCCTGCGCGAACTAGCCCGCCTCAAGGCCGCGCTTTCTACCCCAAGCGAGAGACCGCGTAAGGAGCACATGCAGTGCACGGGTTTGAAACGTGAAGAAGTCACGTGAGTCCTGGGACTCTGTTCCTTGTGTGTAAAAGAGAATAATAACACAGCCTACCTTGTGCAATATGCGGCAAGAAAAATAAGTTAATATCTGTAAAATGTTCGTGATAGTCCCTGGCAAAGAGTAGGCTTCGATGAATTGAAGCTGGCGCCTCCGTTCTATAGTCAATTCCTATATCCCAGGAATCTGAGAATCTTGCACTAAATGATTTTTCAGTTAAACTCAAGCTTCTCAAATGACGGTCTGAAAAATATGTGTAGGCTCCAAATGTGGCCAGAAGCTCATTCACATTTATTCTGAAAGTCAGAAAGTCATGTCCCCAAAGAGCCTCCAAGCAAACGGTCTTGGCTTTTCTTTATGCCCGATCGTCTAGCAGAACCAAATATATATGAATGATGTTGTCCTCTTGCAATAAGTATGTTCTTGTTATCCAAAGCACAAGAAGCTCTCTTGTGGGCACCTGTGACATGATTCCACATTTTAGATAGTTTGCAAAGAAGTAGCTCAATTCATTTAAAGTGGTCAGCTGGGCATCACTGGGAATCCCAAGCCCTACCTTGTGAAGAATAATAGCAGCAGAAGACAAGTGACCAGACCTGTTTCCAGGGAGAGGGGACAGAAGAGGACACAGAGAAGCTGTGGAAAAGTTTCTTTGAAGACCACTCAGGAAAGTATTTGGCAAATGATGTGAATATTTGGGGTTCTAAGGGCAAAGTCCTTGGGTGCCTCTCAGTGACGTTTACCAAGAAGCAAAGAAGACAGGACATCGAGGTCCAGGGTGCCCCAGAGAAGGCCATCCTCACTTCAGTGAGCCCTTCATGCCTGCCCTGGCCCACTGAGGACCCAGCTAGGAAGGAACGAAGATCTTCAGGCTGTCCCCAGGGCACAGAGGAGGCTCCTGGACTCGCAGTGAGAATGAACGCTAGCCTGTACGTTGGACTTATCAATTAATCCCCAGTTAGGCAGCCGAGTGATGTCACTGCCACAAGGCTAGGATCTGAGTCTATCTCCCCAGCAGTCTTGTAGTACAAAGAGCGTCAACAACCTGAGTCCTGCTGCGTCTTCCATCGCGGTGTGCGGGTGCCCGGGGGGTGTAGGTACTGACTTCTACGCTCGTTAAATTTCCACATTATCAATTCAGGCGGTGGCGGCGGCTGTAGGAGAAGATGACGGTCATCACAGGAGTTAAAATTCCTCGTAACTTTCGCTTGCTGTTCCAACAAGAACTGGAAGAAGGACACAAAGGAGCAGGCAATGGAACAGCTAGCTGGGGCCTTGGAGATGCTGAGGACGTGACGCTTACAAGGTGGACAGGTACGATTAGTGGGCCGCCAAGGACAAATTATACAGAATAGATAGCCTGAAAGTAGAATGTGGACTAAATACCCAGAAGCTCCTCCGTCAGCTAGATTTGTAACAAAAATTAATATGAATGGAATAAATAATTCCAGTGGAATGGTGGGGGCGTGCAGCACACCAGTGTTAACAAAATGGCAAAATTCATACAGCATTAACATTGTACTTCAAGAGCTGAGACGTCCAACGATGTCCAAAGAAAATATGCAGCTTCCACAACCACCAGAAGGACAAACACACAGCAGTTAGTTTTAGTGGATCTCAAACTTGTCTTAAATCAACAACCTTCTCATATTAATGTCTTGATTAAATATCACAATGCAAAATACCCACACATTAAGTAAAAGAATTCCAGATAATAAACCTGGCCTGGACATTTGTCAGAATATATTTAATAAATGTTCATCCATTATGTTTTCAGGCAACAGGAGGAAAAGTGCAGCACAATTGTTCTGTCATTTCAATATAAACCTGGGGTACACCACATAGGTCCAGGTTTACAAGATGAAAACACGGGAAAAATTGGCAGATGTCAGTGGAAACGAGTATTTCTGAAAAGTAAAATCTCAAGAAGGAAAAACAAATGGCAGGCTTATCCATCTCACTAAGTGAAAGAGCTGCAGTTTGAAATTGTTCAAAGTTGCAGGTACAATGAGTATTGTCACAAATTGTGTTAATCTTTGAAGCAGTGTGGGCGCTGACTACTAGCAGTATCCAAAATATGTTCAGGATTGTTTTGATACCTGTATTTATAATAAAAAAGTTGGGAGAGGGGTCGATGAATTTCTGCCAAATGCTGTTCCTGTGTGTTACGTGTGACAGATGTAGTAAATATTTGTTTACAGACTTCATTAAATCAACCATGCATTTAAGTTTAGGTGAAATCAACAAAAGGGAATAGGTGTATGGATATGTGATTTTGAGATTAGTCTTAAAATGTAAATAAAATGTAGGATGTGTCTTCAGAGACTATGCCTTTTCTATCATATTGATGTAGTATATGTCCAGTACCTTGTCAAGGTAGCAAAAACTGAAATTATTGATTGTAGCTTTTCTTTGATGCACCCATTTATGATTTATTCTTATTTTATAATATAGTACTTGTGAATTGGAATTTGCAGAGTATTAACAAATTATGTAATTTGTTTCTTTTTTCAAGAAGAATCCTAGATATTGTATTTGAATTTGATTTCACTAGAAATATTACAAAGATTTTTTACTTCTAGCCATTCTTACAGAATTATAAATTGCATATAATTCAAAAATACATTCCTTTTTTTCTTAGCATATTTTTATTTTTGTGCGAAGCTTTTGGTTAATGGATTGAAAAACTGGAGACACTTGCTTATCTAATGATTTTATTAACAAGAGTCAATTTTGTCCAAGCTCCACTCTTAACAGGTCCATAACTTCAAAGTTGGCGATTCATTTATGCTCTACTTTTACCAAAGTCCCTATTTTTACTTCAAAGCTGGGTATACTGCCTTGTTGAAAAGTGTTGTTTTTTTACGAACTTACTGAAGAATATTAAAGGTAGTCTGGTAAACTCTCCTTTCTTTTGGCCAACTTGTCTTATCCTTCACTACAGAATGTATAGGTGAACCAAAACTCTATCAAAATAGCAGATCAGATTTTCTAACTTTGCTTATAAAGGAAAAATAATTGACTTTATATTGTTTTGAAAATGTTAAAATATTTTAGTTAATTTTATAATATAATGAGGACTGGTTTCTCAAATATACCCTGACATGTTTTTATGAAGCTCAGAGTTAAAGCCTTGAATTAACTTTTCTTCATCAATAGTGTATTAAAGTCAGTGACAGTTTGTCTAATCCTACTAATATCCACATGGTTAGTCTGTTTAATTATCAACATTTTCTTACATATCTTAAAATCATACAGAGAGGGCCAGCCAAATAGCTCAGCAGATTAAAGCGCCTACCAGCAGGCACAAGGGCCAGGGTTCGATCCCCGGGCCTGCCATGCCAGCCCTGCCCCCAGGGCACCCCGAGACAGCAATTGAGACTGGACGAGGTGTTGCACACCTGTAATCTCAGCTCTTGGGAGGCTGTAAACAGGTGGATCACTACAAGTCTGATCTAGCAGTGAGACCCTGAACACCCTGTAGACCCTTCCCTAAAATACAAAAATAAATAAATATATATATAAAATCATACATGGAGAACATACACATACAAATTCATATGTATATAATTTATTGAAGTAGATTTACAATGAACTATTACCTTGGAATGCAGTCTTAAATTTTTTAACGGTTGACGATTACATTGAATCACACTGGCACTATAAAAAGTCTAATGAGACCTGCTGGTCTGAGTCAGTCTCTAATAATGTCTTTTCCACTTTGAAAACATGTCATACATGGAAGCTGGTAACTGGATACTGCTGGCGTCTGAGGTTGAGTACCCTGAACTCCATACTGTTTTCCTTTTCCCATCTATGTTGCTGCGATGGTTTCTTCCCTCTGAGTACGTGTTGTCAGAGTCAGGCCTTAGTGTTTACTTCCCCTCCTTTGTTTTGGGATTTAAGAGTCTCAGAAATCTGCATGCCAGTGAACCATTTTCCAGAGCACCATCCATTTTTGCATGTCACAATCAAAATATTCAGGCAATCTAAGACACACTGGTTGATACAAGAGTTAACATAGAGCTGCTCTAAGTTACAGTGACATATGATAGAAGTTTGGAAAGTTTTCCCTTGTTTTGTACAGTGGCCTAGGTTGTAGGAGTGTGTGGTGTCTTATCACCTTTCAAGTGAATTGTAGAAATTTGTTTAAAAGGCCAAGGCTTTTTAAACTTTGAGGATCATATATTAATAAAAATTACCAAAATTTAAAAAAAAACCCTCCACGTTATCCCACCTGTACTGTTTAGCCTCGGTTCAATGCCCTTTTCTTCCTTAAATACAAAGCATACTGTTTCTTTCCTTTGAACCCTCAAGTTACTTCATTTCTGCTTGTAGATGTCTTATTGTGAGCTATTTCAGGTGTCATAAAAAGTATTAATACCCAAAGATCTCTGGACAATCATCTGGTTTATGACATGAAACATTATAAATGCATTCACTGCCCCTTTTATTGACCTCTCTGATCACACCCTCTTCGCTTTCTCGTCCCTCATGGAATCCTGCGCCCCAAGGGTCATTGTGAAGGCAAAATGAGCGAGTACATGCAAAGCACATAAAGCCTGCCTGCATGCAAGAAATATTTAATAAATGCTCCCTGGTATATGTTTTTTAAATTTCATATATTTGGTACAGGGGCTCACTACATAGCTCAGACTCGTAGTGATCCACCTGTTTTCAGCCTCCCCAGCGCTGGGATTGCAGGTGTGCACCACCACATCCAGTTTCGGTCGCCACCTCCGCATACCCGGGGATGGGGCCAGCACAGCATGTGGTACAGGGGATCAAACCCCAGTCCCTGAGTTTGCCTAAGCAGGCGCTTAGTCTGCTGAGCTATCTCACCAGCCCTGCTGTTATAGTTTTTATATTTTTTGAGGTTCATGCATGTGTAAATTTAGTTTTAGGCCCTTTATTTTAAACACTGCATAACAGGCTATAGTATCATAAACTGGAATGTGCTTTCTCTTGCTTGTGTTAATGGACGTTTAAGTCATTCCTGATTATTGCTGTAATAGCAAAAATTTCTAATTAATATTGATTTTGTGATCGTTATTCTTTCCCATGTGTCCCTGTGCCTGGGCAAGTCCTGGGCAGAAGTGCATGAATTTATGTGCGCAAATCTTAGCATTCTTAGGTCCTAAGCTTCTTGACAGCAAGCCTAATGCAGCTCAGTCATTCAGTGATTCATTTAGCAAGTGTTCCTTCACCATGCAGTGCAGGCAGCGTGCAGTTCCAGGTGACAGCATTCAAGGGATAAATGCCATAGAGGAGTGTATGCTCCTGGACACACTCTCAGGACACACGTGGTCGGAACTGTGGTCACTTCACAGGAGGGGGAGGCTGGCCTCCACGGGATCTCCACGATGGATCTGGTGCTATGCGTGTACTTTCATTCAAGCCAAATAATATGGTACCATTTCCTAGTTATGTCTGGGAATGCTCATTAATCTCACTGAGTCTAGTTCTCTCAAAAACACTGTTTCACTGTGCTTTGTGACTGGTGGCTGCAGTACCGATCATGTCAGTTACCCTCTGACCAAGACACTGGTGCCTGCTGAGACATCGGCACATCCGGGACTTTACCTGTGAGTTCTGCTTTCATCACTGGACCATAGAGCATCACTTACAGTCTAAGTTCTAATTTGAGATCTGGCAGTGTTATACCTGTATTACTACTTGCACTTCCTGTATGTGAATGTGCTTTATCTCAGCCTTCTTTATTTAGACAATGGAGTTTTATTTTGTCTTAATTTTTTTCAGCCAATAGATTTTCTCTAATTAATAGAGCGACCACTCAGAGGACATGGGGACAGTCCTTGCCCGGAAGCTTCAGCAGTAACTGCACACTTCAGCCTTTAGAGGGAGTTTAGAAGGAATTTGAGCCTATTACCTTGACCTCAGGCAAGACCATAGTTAAACCCTACATGAGAACATCATGATTATCAGTGGATCTTCAGAGAAAAATCCCAGACTTGCTTCCAAAACTCAATCCAGATACTTCCCAGGCTTCTTCCATGTCACACATGCTAAGTGTCACTGGAATTTGGTTTCGTTACAGAGAGGTCTCCAGCTCCCCACAGTGGGCCCTCCTAAGAATGCTTTCTAAATTAAGCACTCATAGGAGGACTTCAAGGGCTAGTCATAGCCCTTATCCCCTGGTTCCCTCTTCATTCCCCTTCAACAAACAGGCACAATAAATCATCAATAATGAGCTGCAGCTAAACTATAATCTGCTAGATCCACTGCAGAGTGCTTGGATACTTCTGTAAGAAACATGATCTGGTGTTTTACTAAAGTGTATTTAAGAAGCACACTGCTTCCACGTGTGCCTGGAATCAGTTCTCTAATACTTCAAGGCAACTGCCTGCTGCCTAATACACGAAAATACCTGATAGGCACATTTGGCTTATGGGAAGAGTCATGGCATGATCTCTTTACTGGTGTGAGGGCAGAATGATTCTGGGATCCATTCTCTTTCTGAAGGACAGAAGAGAGATTAGTTTTTCTAAAATATCTGCATGGCCATCTGTTATGGTGTGTGTCTAGTTGTCCCCCCAAAGTCTCATGAGTCATGGGGCAGGGACTTCTAGAGTTTGTGATTAACT